TGGAATAATAATAATTATCATGAAGTTAGTATTGTCAGTTTATTAGTTCGAATTATTTTTTTGTTGTTATAGGAAGAAATTTAGATCTAACTACATCAATGATACTAGATCTAAAACTGCTGTATATGATCATTATGATGATCCTGATATAAAATTGAAGGAAGTGAAACCACAAGTAGTTTATGATGAAGTTAAAATTGAATCAACTGATCCTGTTTCTGCTGCTGATTATGAAGTTCCTGTCACTGCAATTACTGAAGAGACTGTTGACAAAGCAATGCAATGAAGCTAAATAAGCATAGAAATAATAAACATTCATTAACTAAAATAGCTACTTACTATTAATACTAGACTAGTCTGTTAATGTTGTTATGTTTGCTGCTTGTTAATCAAAACAAAAATTGTAAATGAAGCTGCATATATGGAATCAAAGTTACTAGAGTAATATGAAGAATAATTAATTGTTAGTTATTAATTTTAAGTTTTAAAAGGGCCCAAGGTAGAAAAATTACTACCTAAACTATTTTTGTGCGTACTACATATGATATAAAATTATGTTAATACTGTTCAATTCATATTACTTGGCAGAAGAGAGAGTGAGTTATTGTAACTAATAGTCCACATACCGCAAACCCACTCATATGAGTAAACGATGACCAATCAGAATTACTACAGTATAGTGGTGTGTGGCTTGGCATAGCCTGCTGTACTATTGCCAACTTTTAGTCAAGATGGAGTATTGCTTCTCTTCTTTGTTGATAATTATATTGATTACAGCTACACTTTCAAATTGTGAAGGTATGGGGAATTTGTTTTGTAGCATTTCTATAATAACTATTATATCATCTCATAGTTTGCTCTAATAGAATTATACCTCTGAAACAAAGCTACAATAATTTGACAACAGTGCTCATTGGTGAATGTGTAATCTTACATTGTACACTAAATGATACAGTACAGTGGGAACTGAATGGAACTGATATTAGTAATGATACTCATTACAATATCAATACTACTAGTGGTACACTGACTATACAAGAAGTGAGGAGCAATGATACTGGAAACTATACTTGTGGTTCAGGAAGCATTTCTCTACTAATAGTGAAAGGTAAATAATATCCCAATATAATGTAAATTGATCCATTTTAGTACCTGATATCAATGTTATTGGTCAATATACTGACCTCACTGTTGGTAGTAGTGCCAGTATTAACTGTACTACAATGCCCTCCATCCCTAACAGTGTAATACAATGGCATCCATCATCATTCCATACTCATAGTAATGAACTAATCATTGATCCAGTGATGCTCTTTCATAATAAAAAAACATTCACTTGTGTAGTATCATCAGATTTACTGGATATGGATTTGACAGAGTCTATTACTATTAGTGTATTAGGTTAGTTGATCATAGTACATTAATTATTAATGTTTATTACAGATACCAGTGTCTCATCTGTTACTGTCCAGTCATTATCATCTTT